TTATTGTTTGTATTGTTATGGTTGCTTATTTGAAAAGTTGTGCTTCTGAGGTGATTTCAGACTATAAGCAATTGCTTATAACTTGAAAATTTATCTAATTTTTCAACTGAATATTTTGGTGATAAAAGATATGCCTAAGTAGTCAATGATATCTAACCATTCACTTTAACTTGATAACTTCCGATATATGAACAGACTTAGACATGTTGCACAGGAAAAAAGAACAAAAATCCATTTTAACCCATGTGCACCAATAAATAAAAAATACTAATTCCAAGACACAAAAAGTGTTCTATCCCTCCGATGATGCAAAGATGTTTAAATTTTATATCAAGGAAAGATTATTAACTTTTATTTTCCATCTCATCTATGCACCCAAGGCAATAGGATTAAAGAATACTAGTTGAACTTTTCTCCAAATTTATTATTATGCCAAGTTTTAAATATAACAAGTTTAACACTTTAGCCCCCACAAAATCTGAAACATGACATAATTCCAATTCTTCACATAAGTAAGCTAATGTGAGCATTAATGATTAAAACTTGTGCTCTAAAAATTTTTCAAGCTACAGTAACTAGAGTGCAAGCTCATCACCACATGTTTTCACCTAAATAACATAATGGACTATGTACTCAATACATTCCATCCAAATTATCATAGTGCTTGAAACTAATAAACAAGCCTATTAACTGAAAACATGGAACCAAGAAACCCAGTACAATCTATGATGGAGATAATAATCAACATGTACAGGTCAACTAGGCAAAGGCTCAGCAAAAGCATTAAAGGATATAACAATATTAATGTGATGCATTGAAGTTTACATTTAATGAGAAAAGAGAATGAAAGGCATTATACTTCCTTGTAACCAAATGAAGCAACAAAATACAAATTCTACAACTGATTCATAAAGAGCATATTATCTACCTTCATTGTCATCTTCAACCTCACTTTCTGATTCATCATCTTCTGTATCACTTTTCCCTTCTTCTTCTCTTTTTCTATTCACAGGAGAAACACTTTTCTTATGTAAGTTTTCACAGACTAAATAAATCAACATCATGAATTGTGAGTTTCTTCTTCTCTTTTTCTATTCACAGGAGGGACACTTTTCTTATGTAAGTTTTCACAGGACTAAATAAATCAACATCATGAATTCATTCAATGCAACTAGAATAGTAAAAAAATCAGCCAAGTGTCTACAGCAACATGGAGAATTACTTTTGAGAATAACAATGATTGATTTGACTGACCTCCTAACCATGAAAAAAGTTATGCATGAGAAAACTAACAATTCTTATGCAGTGAAACACATCAGTTACACTATCACGGTGACAAAACTTATTCCAAGAACCATCTGCATGCCTCATCATAACAAGAACAGCTTTCAAGGACTTGTATTTTTTAACTTTCATTCCTCATAATCAACATTAAACAGTTCACCCTACACTAATCACCAGTTTGACTAGATACTTGAAATCAACCTTACTGAAATAATTTCCATCCTCTGTAACTCATTTATGCTTTCCATAATTTTTTTTCATCTTTGTTAAAGCACAGGCTCTGATTACTAGGAAAACAAAACCATATATCTTCCATAAGCAAAGAAAAATGTTCATATACCTTTTACAAACAAAATAAATTAAGGATTAACACCTATTGTTTCAGGGAAAGAGATTAAAGGCATCACTACATCTGTTTCTCCACCTCTTTCATCACAATTTTTTGCCATTACCAATGATCATCAAACAATGTAAAATACTGATTAATAGAGAAGCAACTGATGCTTTTAACATTAGCAAAATCCCAAAAAATGTCATTTGACACTTCAATTCCACAATAACAAAGCAATTATGATTATCTTACAAAAGAAAACTTAACAAACCCCAAAAACACCAGGAGAATATACTACAGAGCACCTCAATGCCCTAGTTCTGGGGAACCCACCAACCTCCACTCATAGCACTATTTCAAACATGCTCTTATAACATGTATTCCTTTTATCCATAGAGCAAATCAAATTTACTTCCAGAATGACAATTAGCAACCTCACGCAATGCATTATATACCAAAACAGCACTTTCTACATTAAATTGCCAATCATCCAAGTCACAGCTTCCAAATGATAGACTTTCAAAACCAACGAAAGTCCCACAGGTTCAATCAGCAAATTTTAAATGCATGAAACCATCAATATGTAATAATTAACCAGCAAAATCAAAAGGGGGTATACTACGCAGATAAAAATAAAAACATGTAATACATATAACAAACTCTTATAACATGTATTCCTTTATTCGCAGAGGACACTGAATTTATTTCCAAATAAAAACATGTAATACATATAACAAACTCTTATAACATGTATTCCTTTATTCGCAGAGGACACTGAATTTATTTCCAGACTGGCCATTATAAAACTCAAGCAAACATTCAATGCAATGAAAACAGCACTTTCTACATTGAAAATTCCAATATCATCATCAAGACATTATCCAAATGATCGACTATGGTCAATCAGCAAATTTTAAACACATAAAACCATCAAGAAGTAAATAATTCACCATCACAATCAAAAGGGGGTATATTTCACAGATTTAAGAAAAAGGGGGACACAGATTTTGTAGCACCAGAGCACTACCTTTGCTTAAGAGCATTTGCAATTAATTGACTACTTGATCCCAACCTCTTCAATAAATTGTCATACATTGTTGGCTCTCTGTTAAAAACAATTTCCTCTTCTACTTCTTCTTCTTCTTTGGTTTCTAATTCAGCCTCAGAATTTTCATCAGACCAATCCTCTAGAACATTTAAAAAAGACAAAAAAATCACTAATAACAAAAAAAAATCCTTAAAAGAAATCTAAAATGTAATACTGGCTCACCTGAGTCATTTTCTAGAGGTTGCTTAGGTACAAGTTTTTCAGCTCCAGGATTTAGCTTCAGATTTTTGAACTTCTTAAATGGCTTTGAACTGTTCACTCTCTTCAATCCTATATAAGATGTACCTATTAATAAGTATAAACGAACATTACCAAGCAAACTAAAGGAAATTTTACCTCTTTTTCTTGCAAATCCTGGTTTTCCCATTGAAACTTGATTCTTCAAGCTTTGCTGGAGCTCTGGGACGTTAATAAGTTAAAGAAGGAGAGAAACCCTAAACAAAATCAAAACCACAAATTAAAAAAAGGGTGTTATACAGAAGATAGAAAAACAGTAGCTGGGGGAGAAACAAGTGTGCTACTTCAGGAAACTTCAAAAGGATCCATTAGTTGGTCATTGCTCCATAAAAAATTTTATTACAGGTTCTTCTTCAATGACCTTATATTTATACAACCACATGTGTCAAAAACAAAAATATTGCAGGAATATTGGTTATTTCACAGGATATAGGCATTTTTATCAAAAATTAATCAATTTGTGATGGTTCAGTGGAGCTCCAAAAATGGGAAAATCAATTTCGAAGTCAACTTTGACAAAATTGATTTCAGTGAGGGCAAAAAGAGGACCAATAGAACGTGGCTCCAGTTACAACTAAAGTCAGAAAAATCTTTCCTCTTGCTATCAAGCTTTGTGATTTCCAGCATCTGGTAATGCAAGTCAAATTTGTTTCAACAATCCTAGAAGTTATAGAATCTAATCAAAGAGCAGAACAATTGACCTTCACAAACATAAAGTCAGCAACATATCTATCACCATAACTTAATAGGAATACTTGAAGTGTGAACCATACACACTCATCATCAACTCATTTAATTCAACCAATTAAACCTATTATTTATACCATTTTACAACAATAACTACAAACTCTATACGGGTTCACAAATATGAGACCATATAAGCAATTTTGAAAATCATCCAAACTCAAACCAAAAACATCATTCAAGCATTGTTAAAAGAGCATGGTTGACAGAAACAGCAAGCTTTTGCTATTGCACAACAAGAATTTTGGTTTGGGAATTTCATCAAACAGGGTAGGCACAAAAAGGCCTTAAACCATTTTGCACAAATCCGTTCCGAACATTTTCGACCAACATTCACCCGCGTATATCAAATTTAATCGACAAAATCATTGAAGCATAATTTTCAGAAATTTTCAGAAAAAACAAAAGAAAGTACAGAGGGAGAGAAAGTTGTTAGGTACCGTCACTTGACAGCAAGTTTTGGCGGGTACCAAGCTTTTTGTGGGTTTCTTTTTCTTTCTTTAGGTAATACTGCTTAGGTGAGAGAGAGGCAGACGTGTTTAATGGCAACTACCTTATGGTCCAGAGTTTTCCACCACTTGGAGGAGAAGACGATAGGTTGACGAAGGCAGGATTTACGAGAGGAAATAAAAGCGTGAAACTCTTTTGAAGAGGCGGAGGTTGAAGGAAAATAGGTGGGAGGGATTTTTTGAAATATTTTGACACAAACATTTTTACTCCTTGTTCTTTAGAGAAATTGAACAAAACTATTTTAACTTTTCGGGAGAGTTTAACAAAATTTTGACAAGGCTAATGAATTGTTTTTAGAGAATTTAACAATATTTGGACACTGCTTAAAAGAAGTAAATCTTATATACACAACAGTGCATGCTGTTGGGTTTGGGTTTTATTGGACGAATTTCTATAAATATTACGAAAATAAGAAATCATGCCAAAATTGGTGTTGTGGGGGAATTGATGTTGTGTTAGGGGTCATCGCAAATTAGAGATAAAGTTAATTTATTTTCAAATTTTTTTAACTGACAATGCAAAGAACAACGAAAAAAAAACAATAGATGGACTATACTTGAGCACCATTGATCAACTTGTTTGATCAATGGTGCAAAACTATTTTAAAAAAAAAAAATTTCAAATGCTGTGGCTATACTTGATCACCGTTGATCAACTTGTGATCAACGGTGCAAACCTTTTTTAAAAAAAAAATTTTTGCGGCGTCTAGCAAAATTCTTCACACCATTGATAAAAGTGGATCAACGATGCTAAGTTTTTTTTTTTTTTTTTATCCGGACACCGCATGTTTAGCCCCACCCAACCATGCCCATCGACAATTTTTTTAGCCGTTGATTAAATATTGATCGACGGATGGATATAGTCAATAACAACGATGCAATATGTTTGGCTACAAATACATCACCGACCAGATCCCCATTTGCATCTTTATACTTTGGTCTCTCCAACTTCTTTTTTCCTTTCTGAGTCTTCCCAATTTCTTTGTTCCATTGCTAGGGTTTTCTATCGAAGAGCTCCTGCAATTGTGGTCCTGCATTTGTCCATTCCCATTGTGTCGCCGCAATTGTGCCTTTAGATTTTCCATCGAAGAACAACTGGCCTTGTGGTACTGCATTTGTGCTTTCTCATTGTGCAGCCGATCGTTAGTTTATGATTTGCTATAACAGGAAAAAAGAAACCGTAGATGGTTGTACGCATTGATTTTCTGTACCGGTCAAAAAAAGCCTTTGCTCAGTGTTGAAGTTGGTGGATGACCATCACATCAATTTGCTAAGAGGTAACAAGTACGACGTGTTACGTTGAATTACATTTAATCAGTTTGTTATATGTTATTAATAGTAATTTGTTGTTAGTTACTTACCTACGGTGAATTTAGTACATTTGATTAGTATTTAAATTAGCTAAATTAGTAAGGGAAAATGACATGTTTCATCCCTCACATTTCGCAAAAATATTCTCTTCATCCCTCACTTTTAAAATGAAACAAATTCGTCCCTGACATTTAAAAATTGAAGCTATTTCATCCCTGAACCTAATTTTCAATCTGAATCAAACCATCTAATAACCCAATAATAAATTTCGAAAATAGAATTGATAGATCATTCGGTCAACTTCATCGTATTCACGTGACATTTATTAAACCAAAAAAATAAAAGTTATAACATAAAAGGTCATTCTTTGTCTTGGAATAGTAGAGTTTTTTTTTTATAAATCTTTTCATGCACCATTAGTATATCCGCTTGCGAATCTAGATGTGTATCATAATTATAAATTTTGGTGTTTAAATTTAAATTAAAATGATATAGCGGTACATAAAACCGTCAGTGTATACAATGATAATGTAGAAAAGATTAATCTTTCTTTTTATATTATAATTTTTTCTTTTTTCTTTTTAGGTTCATTAAATTTTACATGAATATCAAGTTGAGTTAACCAAGTGATTTACCAATTACACCCCCAAATTTTATAATCAGGTTGATTGGTGGTTTGATTCAGATTGAAATTTGGGTTCAAGGATATAATAATTTTAGTTTTTAAATGTCAAGGACGAAATTGCTTTATTTTAAAAGTGAGGGACGAAAAGAATATTTTTGTGAAATGTGAAGGATGAAATCGATCATTTTTTCCAATTAGTAATACTATATTAATAATTAGTGTTCATGTTTAGGATTTACAAGTTTTTACATTATAATGTTACTATTTAGTACAAGCAGTCACTAATAATTATATTTAATATGTTCTTATTTAGAATGGTCAAAATTTCTATTAAAAGTAAATAGTACAAGTAGGTAAAAAAAGTAAATACTAAATAGTAATAGTAATAATAATAACAATAAAAGCAAATAGTAAAAAAAAGGTGAATAGTAAATAGTATGTAGTAAATAATGAAAGTAAAAAAGTAACAGTACTCCCGTATGTTAAATAATAGTAAAAGTAAATAATAATAGTAAAAATAATTAATTAATAGTTGAAAAGGACAAATGATAAATAGTAAAGTACATAGTAATTATAAAATATTTAATAGTAATAGTAGATAGTTAATAATAGTAATATTAATATTGGTCGTAGTCAATACTAGCAATTACTTCCTTCCTTATACTATATAAGAGCGAGTTTAAGGCAAAAATGATCTTTGGATTTCAACCGTAAGGGTAAGGGCATTTTGGGGTTGTGAGATTGTTTGGAGTGTTGTTATAACGGAGAGTACAATTGTTGATACAACTTTTGTTTTTGGCTTTGGCATAAATAGTCTTCTATGTGGTAATTGCACATAAAGTGTTGTTTGCAAAAGGAATGGGTACTGTAGGAATGTACAATTATTTTAGTTGTATTAACAGTAGATACAAGTGATAACAGCATTTGTTTCACTGAATTTATGTAAACATCCTTAATTGATAACTAAGCTTAGGCGAAAGTGGTTTATTGACAAATTACTGATAGGAATTAATTAGGAAGGGGTATTTTGGAAATGTCATTTTGTTGTAGTGAACTTTCAAGCAGTTGACACAAGTGCTAATACCCTTTGTGTTGGTGTAATTACTTAAAACTCTTTAGTTCTCAATTAAGGCTTGGAGAACATGGTTTATGACAGTTTCATGTCTGAGCATTAGCTTCAGTTGCACCTCTCCAAATGACTTTTGCTTCAAATTCTACTGTTATGATCTTCAAGCTTCTTGTAAAGGTTTATTTGTCCTGGTTGTGTACTTTGTGAGGATTCGAAAATTCCATTTATTTTAAAATTCCTAATTTTGGCTAAATAATTATTTATTTGGATTTTTGCCACGAATAATATTTTCTAGCCTATTAGACCGAAGTACATGATTTTATAGTTCGTTATATTTCTAAAGTGACTCATTTTAAAAAAATAATAAAATAAAAATATAGATGAATAAACAAATATTTTCTTATAAGCCTATTTAGCGAAAAATGGAAACGTGTCTAAAAACTTTAGCCAATTGGGCGTACAATAAGCTACAAATTTAAGACATATACAATGGTCCTAAAATAAACAATTTTAGGTTTAAACACACAAGTAATAACTAGTGGTACGATCGTTATATGTATTTCTCAAAGGTTTTAATTTTTATTACTCCTAAATTAGAAATACGTGTTTTCACGTGCGCGCTTAATTGAGGGACTTTGGACCATTATTTTGGGACAATTAAGAATGAATAATATTTATATGAATGTAAGGGCCCTAGAGGTTTAGTACACTAGTGCAACAAACGTAAGAGAAATCGGATACAAAACGCGCGCGTAGGGTACTAGTTAAAAATTGATTTGACGTATCAAAGGATTTGACGTCAAGCGTCTTTAGTACGCAAAAGCTTCAGTGTCGCAATTCATTTCCTTTCTCTGCTACAATGGCCGGCTAGACTGCTGCAGAGAAACAACCAAAGACTCTCACCATTTCTTTCTTCCAAAGCCATGCAAATCACTATCAAACTTCCACCAAATTCTCTCAAAATTTAACTACAACTAGCTCAATACTCGGACAACAACTTAGGCTGGAAAAGGGAGGAGTTTCACGGCTGTCTTCAGGCTTCATAGGGACCGAAATTTTCTGATCCGAACAGCCATCAAAGTAGGTAGCCATCTAACTTCTTAAACTTGTTTTATGAAGTTTGATTTATGCATTTGAGCTAGAATCGTCACTCTAGTAGCTTGTATTGTTGGAAAAAGTGGGCTCTATGAATTCCCACTCTTGGGTTGTTGCTGATTCTGTGCTTAATGAAGTTTATGATGACGGATTAGTGTTTAAGTTAGTGTTTCGTTGAAGAAAAACTGCAGGAAACTCACGTAGAGAGCAAGGGCCAAACTTGACCATTTTGCCCCTGCTCTGTTCGGTCATTTTATTGCAGAAATTGAGGATTTAATGGCTTGATTGTGTAGTTTACATGTTGTAGAAGTTGTGTACAAAATTTCGTTGAAAAATATTGAGTTTTGGTTGTTCAAACGAAGTTATTTCAAAAACTAGTAAACTGGAAAACGGTTTCGCCGTAATCCAGACCAGTGGTTGTGTTTCGTCCATAACTCCGTACCCCGACGTCAAAATCAGGTGCCGTTAGCGGCATTTGAAACTAGACGTTTCCATGTTTTTATCGGTGTATAATGCACGTCCTGGTTTTATGTGTGTGAGCCACACCATTCATCTGAAGTCGGCTGTCCTGTTTCTCCGTTCTGCCGAAATGATTTGATGATGCTACAACTTGAGCCTTGATTTTGAACCAGTTGCATGCTGAAACTTGGAACGATTTCTTCTGTAAAGTTGTATCCCTGGGAATGTATTTTCTAACACTATCAACCATTTTCAATTCCGAGTTAAATTGAGAGAGTTATGATCAAAATACGGCGACTGCTCGTTTTGAAAATCTTAGATTTGGACAGATTGCTTTAAAGATTTTTCCAAACTTTGGTTGACTGAATGATCACCCTTCCGAGGGTATTTTTCCATGAAATTTGATAGAGAGATAACCTTCATATGGAAGTATTATACTGCAAAATTTGGTGTCAATCCAAGTCCGTTTCGGCACTTAACTAAAGACCCAAAGTTGGAACCAAATCTGGAAATTTTGTAACAATCTTGAATTTTCCCCAACTTCGAGCTGCCGTATCTCGGTACTCGAAACTCCGATTCTTGAACCGCTTGTTCCATCCAAAATGTTACTTGCAGTTCTAATTGAGTTATAAGTTTCAAGGGCCGGTTTCCAACGAGTGATTTTTGCCGAATTTCCAAAGTTAGCGAAAAACCAACCCGGCTCAATCTTAGCAATCTAGAACAGCAACTTTAGGCTCATTTTTGAATGCCTTACACTTAGATTCATGGAACGGTGTCTTCTAAGAACTTTTAGTACTTTCAAAGACGATTCCAACGGTACCAAATTCATCAATTTTTTATTAGTAGAAAAGAAGTTATGATTTTTTAAAGATTTGACCAAAAATCAAAAATTCTGAAATTTCAAAGGAAATCCACGAAGGAACAATTTTTCCAGAATCCGGCCTTGAATCCGGCCAGAAACTGGCCGGATTGTCGGCCGGATTGGTGGCCAAAATTGAAAAAAAAAAGAGGTTAGCCACTGCCAGAAATCCGGCCGGATATCCGGCCAGATTCCGGCCGGATTGTGACGTGGCCAACCTTCCTTCGATTTCGATCATTCGTTTTGCAATCTTTTCGCTCGTACTTGTTTCCAACCAATGATTTTAAGGATAATAATCCAATTTTTGTACTTAAATTTTACATCCTCTTGAGAATTCAACTTCAAAGGCACGTCAAACGAAGTTTTCAATTATTTTCGAACCTTACTCGTGTTCAATCTTTCTCACCACTTGGGGACCTACAGTAATTATCTAAAATACGATGTTCAGGCACGCACGAGGACCTCCAAGAGGACCCTACTGTGGAAGTTTGAACTCTCCCTCCAACTTACTTGCTCGCATAACTGGTGAGTGTCAAGTGTATGCCTACTTGAACTCCAAAGACTTGATTCATGCTTGATTCACCTGATTTCATGCTTAGCTTAACTGATTTTGACAAAATGGAGTCGAGTGTGTACTTGATCGCACTCGTTCTCATTTGAAACGAATGACCCATGCTTAACATGATTTGCTTGGTTTGCATGACTTGAAATGTCTGCTTAAACCTATTGAATGCTTGAATACATGAAATGGTATGCTATGATTGCATACGTCGATGGAGTGAATCTCCTCGACATTTACATGACAAATGGGGGACGCCCAAACTCATAGGCCGACCTTGGAACTTGAGCCGGCATGGGGTTGGTCGGGAACCTCGGTGAGCCATGAGACTCAAATGATAAGCTTGATCTATTGAGAGATCTCGCTTGGCATACTCGTATAGTATCGCTTTATAAATGTAGTGCGGGCCCGAAGTGGTGTATGGTGGACGGATGGGAAGTAAGTGGTGAACTACGGACATGAAAATATCAATCCGGTTGACGGAGAGTCATCACGGAAAGATATATATAAATGGTATCGGCAAATTGCGGAACTTAGCTCCTGAGAGCTTCTATATCCTTGAATTGTTTCTGGTTACAGTTTATTGGTGTTATTAATTACTTGCAAGCTAATACCTGAATTGTTAATTGGGCTTGTTATCTGAACTATGTGGTTGCATGTGTGTTCTTAGCCTCACGAGCGTTTTGCTCACCCTGTAGATTTGTTTTCCTTAACAGGTTGAATTCGGAGGTAAAATGGAGCCGCCTCTTGATGTACTTTTGTTTAGGGTTGCTATTACTTTTGTTTATGCCTTTGGCTTGGGATTGTACTTTTGGTATGGAAATGTAACCTTTGGACGAAATGTAGTATGTATATCAACTGGTGGTTTGAAGAATGGATAACTGTTATTATGTTTGAACACTTCCGCAATTATTGCATCTAAGATTATCGATTTGCATTCTTGTGGTCCGGATATAAGTTGAATGGAATTGCTTGAGTCCTGGCGAGAGCTAGGCAGGCGTCCCACGGATACCCTTTGGTTCGCCTTAGGGAGAAGTGGGGGCGTCACATACTTTGCTTTCCACCTTGCCCGTTGGGCGAAATTATTCCTGGTGGTTCAGTTTGGGGCAAGTGTTGTGGGTTTTTTCCGCTTTGATGGTGTCATTTATCTTCTTAAATGGTAGTGTTTGTTACGAATTCAATGGAGGCATTGTTAAATTGGGTGTTATTTACATACAAAAATTTTTTTTTGGTATGGTTGTAATGGTGTCCCTTTAATAGATTTGGAGCAATTGTGAGGAAAAGCTCTGTTGGGAATATTTGGAATATGGTACGCAATTGTTTATTATTAGTATGCAACGCTTGTCAATATTTTCATATAAATGTATTTAGGGTGCGTTTGGTTCTGCAGAATTGGAATTGAATTAGAATTGAAATTCTATAGAATTGGAATTCTATGAATTATAATTCCAAATCATTGCAATTCTTTCGTTTGGAAAATGCATAGAATTGATATGGAATTTGTTTGGAATTCCAAATTCTTTGTTTGCATGAGAGAATAATTCATTAGGAATTAGAATTGTTTTCATGAAACATTTGCTTACAGAAAATTTTTCTTTTTCCTTTACTATATAATATTTTTTTAACATTTAGCTAATTGTTACTAAAGCTTTAAGGAAAAAACCAATTTGTACCTTTAATAATTTATTTTTTCTTGCATTTAGCTAATTGTTACTCAAGCTTTAAAGAAAAAAAATTAGTTACTTTTCTTCAAAAAAAATATTATTCTTGTTTCTTTTCTTCTTAATTAAATTATATTAAATAAAAAATAACTATATATTCTAACTTAAAAAGTAATTAATATTTATCAAGTTAAAACCTTGATACTTTTTATAAAGCTAAGAACTTTAAATTTTAGAAAATCAAAAGCCTACTCTATGATATTAATTGGGAAGGAAAGTCATAGCTTGTGCCTATTATAAAAATTTGAGTTTTGTATCTTACAAGAAATTCCAATAGATGAATATGCAAACAAAGTGACTTTAGCAAAATAGAGAGAGAGAGAGAGAGAGAGAGAGAAGCACAATTATACATTGCTACTATTCTTCAATAAATGGCCATTCTAATATTAAATTAAGTCCGAATAAGTTCCTATCAAATTTCAAGGCTAAGAATGATTTTGGCTAATTAGTGTATTAAAAATGCTCACAGTAAACAACTGCAACCACATGTAGTATTGGTGAAACAGTGACATCCATTTTAATTTTCTTTCTGAATTGTCAAAAACAATTTAATTGGATGAATGACAATAAATTAGAATAAAAAAGGCACAGAGCAACATTTTATTATTATTATTATTAATTGTCTCTTCCATTTACACACGAGACAGCATCATAATGACATATTATCCCAATTCCATACGAGTTTACAAAGCCTGCTGGCATACATAACATAAAGGTAACACCTAGTTCACACAGGCCCTGTGGTCTGCTGAGCCCTGGAATAGCTTGATACAGAAACAACATTATTCAGTATCATATCTCATTTGCATCCAAGTCAGAGTGAAATTGTTACAAAAAGTAGCTTCCCATATTTGTCACTCGAAATTAAGAAGACAAAACCAAATTTCACCATGCCAGAGGGATATGAGACGCTGCTAAAGCTAATGGCCTGCAGAAGTAATTACTCTGTGTTAGGATAACAACACATATTTGTTTCTCTTCCAGCTCATACATGAGAATAAATTCATAAGCATTTTGATCAGCCATCTTACTGCCTCACAGTATAACTATAACCATTTCTCATAACACTTTATTTCCATTTTGCAGTAAAAAAGTGTCTCTCTGCGATGAGAAATTCGTGATGTGTAACCAATCAAATGAAATGCTAAAGTGAATCTTAACAGAGGTTCAGAAGCAAAGCCAAAAGAGGTGGGCCTAATGTCTGGTACAATGAAAGCTTTTGAGCATAAAGCAAAATGTAGTTTACACCAATCACATAGTAAACCACTGTTTGGCTAAACGGCCATTAGTGGATTCCATCACAGATCTTGTAGCGGCGCTTTACGAATTGCAAATCATTCATAACTTTCAAACAATCTATTTATTACTGCTTCAAAATACATGTGCACACAAAGTATATAGAAACTAAAAAGGAAGCCTAAACTCAGGAGAACCATTAATTTATTTACAAAAGTTGCATCTTACCCCAACTTTCAAGAAGTCAAAAACAAAATTTTGTTTATATGGAAGACAGCATCAGATATACTGAGCCAGAGAAACAGGTGCAAAGGAACTTCTTTTGTCATTAGATATCTGATGAACAAGACAAGAAATGAGCCAAACAAAACTTGAACAAGTCCACCTGAACAGAAATGGATATGAAAGATAAAATGGATATGGTTTCGTTTATGTCTTGTTATTGGGGATAGCTCAAACAAACTGAAAAGAGGGATCTTGCCGTTGAAATTTTCTACTGTATAGCATTTTCACCTTTTGTTTTTAAAATATCCACAGCAAGTAAAGGTCATAAATTTAGTCCAGAATTACAAAAACCTACAACAAGTAGCTAAATTAGAAACAACCCATAAAACATTAATGCCAGCAAAATCACTAAAACGCTAAAAAAACCCGAGAATCACATCGAAACAGAAGAAAAGGCACAACATTTGAACTTACTGTGAGAAAACCAGAAGCCCAAGATCCAAATCGCTTATCCTTGAAGCCACCAGAAAGGAGAAGCAAAGAAAAAGATTGAAATCCACCAGAGGCAACTAGCAAGCTGTAAGTTCCCCCAAAGGCCAAAAGGCAACAGCAGAGCGGAGCAAAGCAGAGCACTCGGAGCAAAGGGCAATGGGGGAGACGGTGGTGGAAGAGGCAAAATGTTAGGGTTGAGGTGGAAGCGGCAGTGGACATCAGAGCAATTGTGCTGAGGAAAAGCGGTTAATTAGATAGAGAAGGGACGCGAGTGAACTTGACCCGATTTTTATTTTTTACCCACATTGGATCCGCGTGTAGACCCGTTTTTGAGGGTTTAGACGTGGAATTGGAATTAGAATTCTTTTGGTCTGATAAAGAATTCAACTCATGGAATTGGAATCTCTTGGAATTAGAATTCAATGCTAATTCTATGGAAAAGGCAGCATCCAAACACAAGAATTAGAATTGGGGTTCCAATTCCAATTCTAAATCCCAATTCTATGGGGTACCAAACATACCCTTAGGTGTGGAATTTATTTTGCTATTAGTGTGTAGTTTGTGCTGTTGATTTCTTGTTACAATGTAGTTTGTGCTGCTGATTTACTTTGCTTATAAAAGTCATTGATTTTTGTATGTATTATATCTGAAATTGTTTGGCTTCTGGAAATACATGATGCATTTGATTAGTAGCTTGTTATTTGTATCGATGATTTGCTTTGGCAATAAAATTGATCTATTCGTGCATTTATGTGTATGGTTTGATGGTTTACTACTAGGCATACCTGACATTTCATGTTTTACTTATGGGCATTTGTTTGCTCCTTCGTTGGATACTTGTGCTAATTTTAATGTTTCTATATGAGTGACTAAATGTCAAAAATCTATCTATTCATCTTATTATTAACACCATCACCTCAACAAAATTGTATTACTATTCATTTCACCGATTAGTAAAACAAATGACCTCATTTACAACAATTTTTTTTTATTTGGATTTAGCTATAATCCAATGAGTTTTGACCACAATCAGCACCCTCAACTACAGATAAATTTTTAAATTTCGTTAACATATTTGATTCTATTGTAACTATATTCAAGAAAAATTTCAGTTAACTTATAATTTAGTCCTAGCAAATAAATTTATCTTCTTCAAATTCATTATAAAAATTCCTTGGATTTAAAAACTCAATTACAAAAAATTTGAATTTTTTTAGCTTAAAATATGAATTTTTATGAAAAAATATAAAAAAAAGTATTTATTTCTCTGAAAATAATGAATAGATTTATTTCAATTTAGTTTTTCATTCTTATTTCAAAAAAATTTTAGTTGAATTGCATCATTTCAATTTGTGCAATGACAATTTTAATTCATTTCACCTATTAATAAATTTATGTTAATTCATTTTCTTATTTATGTTGTTATTACATAAAACACAAAGTACCAACTATCTTAAATTACATGTATCAAACTCCTACGCATTGCATGGCCCCCCTCTGGTAGTAATAGTAATACTAGTAATACTGAAAAAGAATAGTAATAAGTGCGATATTAATAAAAAAAAGTCATAAGTAGTAGTAATTACTTACAAATATTAATAGTAGTAATAGTGCAAAAAAAATAGTAATAAGTGTTTAATTAATATTAAATAGGAATCATTAAATTATTACATATTCATAGCATATGTGCCGTTAATTTTATATTAATGACAAATTCATTCTTGTTTAGTTATTGTACTATTTAATACTACTTCATATTATTTCATTTATGATTATTTTTTTATGGATGTGATAAATTTTAGTTTAGTTAATCTAAATTTATGTTGAGAATCACCTAAGTGCTTGAATCTAAAATAAATAATATTAATAAAATTAAGTACAGATATGTCCACGGATCTCGCATTGGTGATTCAGTTTTATAGGGAAGGAAAAATAGTAGAGATTGGAGGAACATTTTCATATGATCCTCTGAGATGCAAAAAAGGCATTTTAGTAAAAAATCGCATAGGTTATTCCAAGTTGGTTGATAGAGTGTACACTTACATGGGTCTAGATCGAACTGTGTTCAATTTAAATCTATGATGAAAACAAAATAGTAAATTTTTAACATAATTTTTTATTAAAAGCATAATACATTTTAGGACCATTTTTTGTTTAGGATCATGAATTACGATTTAGGGTTTATAAATTAGGGTTCAAGTTTTATGAATTAGGATTTCAGCTTATAAATTAGTATTTAAGATTTATTAATTTGGATTTAGGGTTTATAAATTAGGTTTTTGACTTTATAAATTAGAGTTTAAGATTTATAAATTTGGATTTAGGCTTTATAAATTAGGATTTAGGCTTTATAAATTAGGGTTTTTGATTTATAAATTTGGATTAAGGGTTTATAAATTACGATTTAGGGTTTATAAATTAGGGTTCAAGTTTTATAAATTAGGATTTCAGCTTTATAAATTAGTATTTAAGATTTATTAATTTGGATTTAGGGTTTATAAATTAGAGTTTAAGATTTATAAATTTGGATTTAGGCTTTATAAATTAGGGTTTAGGCTTTATAAATTAGGGTTTTTGATTTATAAATTTGGATTAAGGGTTTATAAATTACGATTTAAGGTTTATAAATTAGGGTTCAAGTTTTATGCATTAGGATTTCAACTTTATAAATTAGTATTTAAGATTTATTAATTTGGATTTAGGGTTTATAAATTAGGATTTTGACTTTATAAATTAGAGTTTAAGATTTATAAATTTGGATTTAGGATTTATACATTAGGGTTTAGGCTTTATAAATTAGGGTTTTATAAATTTGAATTAAGGGTTTATAAATTACAATTTAGGGTTTATAAATTAGGGTTCAAGTTTTATGAATTAGGGTTTTAGCTTTATAAATTAGTATTTAAGATTTATTAATTTGGATTTAGGGTTTATAAATTAGGATTTTGACTTTATAAATTAGAGTTTAAGATTTATAAATTTGGATTTAGGATTTATAAATTAGGGTTTAGGTTTTATAAAGTAGGGTTTACGATTTATAAATTTGGAATTAGGGTTTAAGGTTTAGTTATTATATTTTAGGGTTTCATTAAAAAAAAATGGTCTATGCATGCAGCTATTAAAAAGCTCGCCGCATGCGGCTATGTAAAAAAGACTCGCTGCATGCACTAAGCATATTAAAAAAAAAGTGAAAACAAAACTTTCCTTCTCAACCGCAAAAGAAAAATGGAAAAGAAATTTGGTTTTTTCAGTAGTTGAAAATTTCATTTGCGGCAACCATTCAATTATCACACATTCTCACACAACACCACTTCTCCGACTTTTTCTCTCATTCGCATTATTTCTGGAAATTCACCATTTTATTGCACCGACCATTTATTTTGAGCACAACAAAATAAACGGTTAGCGAGATAGAACTCAAGCCGAACAAAATAAACGGTTAGTGGAATAAAACCCAAACCCAACAAAATAAATAGTTAGTGGGATAAAACCCAAACCCAACACACACGCTATCACGGTTGGATGCATGACACATAAGCAAAATTTGAATTTGAATTTTAAATTCAGATGAGTTGTTATGTATCCAATGGTGATGGTGTACACAGTGTATAAAAGATTAATCCTAAATTGATTAGACATGAATCTTTTTGATTTTTTTTTTAGTTATTAAACCCGGTTTGAAGAAGAACCTGACAAAATAGGTGGATCAACGAATCACTGGTTCAATCGATGGTGAGTGGTTTAACTGGTAGATCGCTAAATATATTTAAATATTATGTCTCATAATTTTTTTATATAGGGTATATGGTTTGAATTGTAATAAACTATACCATAACAAATGCTCATATAGTCTAATTTATTATCGAATTATTAATTCTTATAAGAATCAATAAAACCTAAATTTAATTAGTAATCCATCAAATTTCAAGTGTAAAATTTTACCTATATTTAGTGTAATTATTTAGTTTATTTATGAATGTTAAGTGTAAAAGGTTATTAGGATTAATATTTCCCTTTAAAATGGGTTGTATAATATGTTATTTTTGAAATCCATTTCATAACTTATATTGTTTGTGGAGTAATAATTTTTATTAAAAGATTCAAATAAATTTTGTTTTAGAGCAATAAAAAAATAAAGAAACAATTGACTAATATATATTGTAAGATAGTTTAATAACTAGCATGTGAGTTAATGGCCAAGTGGTAAGTACTCTTTCTTAAATGCATGAGGTCTTGAGTTCCAACCCCTATAGTTTCTTGTTTAAATTTTTCCAACAACAACTAATGCTCTACCCAGTTCAACCAATCGAGTTTTCAGTTTAATCCAATTGAACCATCAATTCGCTGATAAGTCGATGATTTTTGTTCACATCCGATCTAATTAGAGACCCAACCCTATCTATTGCTCAATTCACCGGTTTTCAAATTGAACCGCCAGATCAAGCCAGGTTTAATAACTATGTTCAAACTTATTAGTAGACATGTTTCTCTACTACTAGTTTATCCCTTCAATCACATTTTTTTCACATATATTGTGGCACAAAATGTATTATACAAAAAAAAAACTTCTCATGTAATTTCGAATCCAAAACTTAATTTTAAGAGGAAACTTTGTACTCTAACTCTTAGTAAATAGCCAATAAAAAATTTGTCACAATTGCAAAAAATACCTATAATTTATCAGAAAAATTCTCCAAATAAACTTCACCTAGACCAAAACAAAATAGGATATAAGTTTGGAGACATGTGGCCTTTGCTGCCATAGCATACTCACTTTGGAGTTTCAGAATACTCACATTGAGACATAATGTTGAATTTTATTTAGAATTAGGAGTTTCTCTTGGTATTCAGATTTAGGATTTTTTTTCTTTAGATTTTGTATTGTAATTTTTTTATTGGTTTTATAGGGATTATGTACTTTACTTTGATCAATAAAAGTAAACAATTAATATTGCATTTTTTTGTACTACTTTCATAGGGATTATTTGCTTACGGAAGATCAATTAAAGTATATGGCTTACCAAAAGGAAAAAAGAAAAGAAATGAGTAGAATTGTATATTTAATAAAAAAATGATAAAATGAAGGAATTGTTGAGCCAAAACTTTTGTTAAAACTAAAATTTTAAAAAAGGACAAAACTTTTATTGTGCCATTTCTCCTTTTCCACCCTACGTTGTGGCGTTTCAACTAGATCCTTTCTCTATGCTGCTGATCTCTCCCTCCTTTCCTTGCAC